TTGAATATAGGAACCACATTAGCCATCTTCCACAACTCTGGCACAACACCGGTAAGGATGGACGCATTGAATACACTCGTTAATGGCTGACTAAGCTCCATCTTGCATTCCTTAAGTACCCTGGAAAACAGCTCATTGGGTCCCAGGGACTTATTTTGCTTCAGTTTGTCTATCTGTTTAATAACCATGTCCCTCGTGACAGTAATATTAGTTAATTTAAATTCATTAGGAACTAAATAATTGTTAATTACTGGAATCTCATTTACATCTTCCTGTGTAAAAACTGACAAAAAATAGTCATTAAATAAGGAACACATTTCCAGTTCGTTATCCGTCAGCTGTCCATTCCCAATTTTCAGAGGTCCTACTTTTTCCTTCACCTTCGTCCTATACACTTGAAAGAACCCCTTTGGATTAGTCTTTGATTCACTAGCAACTCTAATTCATAGTCACGTTTAGCCTTTCTAATCCCCTTTTTTACTTCTCTTTTAAGCTAAACATATTGGTCAGTAAGGTTAACCTCTCCTCTTCTGATGCGCCTATGAATTCCCCTTTTCTCCCCTAATAGATGCTTTAACCTACTGTTAACCCATTTGGGATCGTTATTATTAGACCTAATATCTCTCCGGGGAATGTATATACTCTGGGCACGGTGTACATTATTAAGAAAAAAATCATAAAAACAGATCCCTTCATAATCATAAGTATGATCATCGCCAATAAAATCATTAGCTAGAAACCCCAATCAAGATTAGACAGATGTTCCCTAAGTCCATTATAGTCGGCAGAACGGAAATCAGGGATTTTTACTGTATTGTCATTATTCTTGCATTCCCAGTTAATGCTAAAAGTGATGGATTTGTGATCACTTGCGCCAAGCTCTTCAGTGATCTCCAGATTATTCACGACAAGACTAGGTCTAGCAAATTATTACCCCTGGTAGGCTCTGTTACGCTCTGCTTCAGAAAACAGTCCTGAACTGTTTCCATAAAGTCACTGGACTCTAGATTACCTGTCAAAGAATTCCAGTCAATTTGACTAAAGTTAAAGTCCCCTACTATGACTATGTCATTGTGTCTAGAAGCCCTAACAATCTCGTCCCAAAGAAGTCTCCCTCTATCGTGATCCAAGCCTGGAGGTCGGTATATTACACTAAAATTAGTTTTTCTTGACCCTCTACAAACTCTACCCAAACAGATTCTGTTACTGCTCCATCTATTTTTATACCTGTTTTTATGCAAAAATTAATATTTTCTCGAACATATAATGCAACTCCTCCCCCTTCCCATTACATCTATCCACATTGAACAACTTAAATCCCTGAATATTACACTCAGCAGTCATATCCCGACTCTTTAAATCATACCACGTTTCAGTTAATGCAATGATATCAAAGTTCCCAGCACATGCTACCAAACATAGTTCATTAATTTTATTTCTTGCACTTCGACTGTTAGCATAAAATACCATCATATGTTTTTTTCTTCTGCACATTTTTCCTATTGATCTTCGTTTTTACACAATTTCTGAAATTATCATTACCCAGAGTTACTCCATGACAGTTACTACTAAGATTCTTAATATTAGAGCATAAGTCAATATATCCATACTCATTATTTATCATTTATAAACCCATACCTCAAACTAATCCTAGTTTAAAGTCCTAACAACCCCCTCAACTGAGTTAGCAAGAAAACCCACACCTGCCCTGGATAAGTGAACCCCATCCCTGGCATACATGTCATTTCGGCCATAGAAGTTGTCCCAGTTGTCAATGAATGGTACTGCATTATCCTTACAGTGTTTATCCTGGAGTTTACCTGGAGAGAGTTCCGGGGGTCAACGCCCCCGCGGCCCGGTCTGAGACCAGGCCTCCTGGTGGATCAGAGCCTGATCAACCAGGCTGTTGCTGCTGGCTGCACGCAAACCAACATACGAGCCACAGCCCGGCTGATCCGGAACTGACTTTAGGTGCTTGTCCAGTGCCAGCTTGAAGACTGCCAGGGGTCTGTTGGTAATCCCCCTTATGTGTGCTGGGAGGCAGTTGAACAGTCTCGGGCCCCTGACACTTATTGTATGGTCTCTTAACGTGCTAGTGACACCCCTGCTTTTCATTGGGGGATGGTGCATCGTCTGCCAAGTCTTTTGCTTTCGTAGTGGGTGATTTTCGTGTGCAAGTTCGGTACTAGTCCCTCTAGGATTTTCCAGGTGTATATAATCATGTATCTCTCCCTCCTGCGTTCCAGGGAATACAGGTTTAGGAACCTCAAGCGCTCCCAATAATTGAGGTGTTTTATCTCCGTTATGCGCGCCGTGAAAGTTCTCTGTACATTTTCTAGGTCGGCAATTTCACCTGCCTTGAAAGGTGCTGTTAGTGGTGCAGCAATATTCCAGCCTAGATAGAACAAGTGACCTGAAGAGTGTCATCATGGGCTTGGCCTCCCTAGTTTTGAAGGTTCTCATTATCCATCCTGTCATTTTTCTAGCAGATGCGATTGATACAATGTTATGGTCCTTGAAGGTGAGATCCTCCGACATGATCACTCCCAGGTCTTTGACGTTGGTGTTTCGCTCTATTTTGTGGCCAGAATTTGTTTTGTACTCTGATGAAGATTTAATTTCCTCATGTTTACCATATCTGAGTAATTGAAATTTCTCATCGTTGAACTCATATTGTTTTCTGCAGCCCACTGAAAGATTTGGTTGATGTCTGCCTGGAGCTTTGCAGTGTCTGCAATGGAAGACACTGTCATGCAGATTCGGGTGTCATCTGCAAAGGAAGACACGGTGCTGTGGCTGACATCCTTGTCTATGTCGGATATAAGGATGAGGAACAAGATGGGAGCGAGTACTGTGCCTTGTGGAACAGAGCTTTTCACCGTAGCTGCCTCGGACTTTACTCTGTTGACGACTACTCTCTGTGTTCTGTTAGTGAGGAAATTATAGATCCATCGACCGACTTTTCCTGTTATTCCTTTAGCACGCATTTTGTGCGCTATTACGCCATGGTCACACTTGTCGAAGGCTTTTGCAAAGTCTGTATATATTACATCTGCATTCTTTTTGTCTTCTAGTGCATTTAGGACCTTGTCGTAGTGGTCCAATAGTTGAGACAGACAGGAGCGACCTCTTCTTGGCAAAATGCCACATATAACAGGGCACCCCCCCTTCTTCCTAATTATGTCTATAGCTGTCCTGAACTTTCTAATTAAATCCTCACTTCTACACTTGCCTACATCATTGCCTCCAGCACTGAGGCAAATAATATGATTGATCCCATTACCGTTCATGATGTTGTCAAGCCGGCTAACAATGTCCTCCATCCCAGCCCCAGGAAAGCAAACCCTCTCTCTCCTACTCCTGTCCTTCAAGCAGAATGCCCTATCCATGTATCTTACCTGGCTATCCCCAACAACAACAATATTCTTACCTTCCTTGTTGTCTTTCGTCGTGACGATCCCAGTAGTTGACTCACATTCGTCGGGTAGCACCGAGAATGAGTTGGAGGTTTCCACAAGAGTTTCCACACCAGTCTCTTTCTTCTTCATCGTTTCTGGCTTTCCATTCGTCTTCTTGATCGTCAACTTCGTTCCCTGCTGTCCAGCCACTGACCACGATCCCTTCTTGACCTGAGGACTCGAAACAGGAGGACTACTACGAATCCTCTTGTTTTCCTCGGTCAATCGCCGTATCTCCATCTTTGCTACCCTCAATTCTTCCTTAAGCTGCTGGTAAAGTTGCTCGATGGAGGGCATCTTGGTTCAGTCCACGGGGAGCACACAAGACACTTCTTCACAGAGTTAAGTACAGGTCACCACTGAGTTAAGTACAGGTCACCACTGAGTTAAGTACAGGTCACCACTGAGTTAAGTACAGGTCTCCACTGAGTTAAGTACAGGTCACCACTGGGTTAAGTACAGGTCACCACTGAGTTCAGTACAAATCACCACTGACTATGGAACAATGCTCTTCTCCAGAGTGAGGGACTGACCACCTCAAAACTTCAAGGGTGATGGACTGATTACATCGTCTTCAAGTATCTTCTGCTTCTATCAACTTTTCTGTACTCGACTGAAGAAGCCTACTGTGTAGGCGAAACGTTTCGAAATAAAGATACCTAAATGTTGCATATGTGTCTTACCTAACAACCTGTCGGTATTTTATACCATTTTAATGTTCACACTGACTTCACTCGGCTATCCTGTGTGGATAATCCTCCGGGTTAAAAATCCGAAGAAATCTTATCGCCTCTTCTGCTGTCTCCATTTTTAGTCACCTTTGTATATGAGTGATGAAGCATACTGTGCAAGCGAAACATTTCAGAATTAAAGGTACCTAATTGTTGCATATGTACAGTATGATATTATTATAATTATTAATGAGATATATGGTATGTAATATAACCTGCTGGTATGTAGCACTTCCAATAGTGTTAAAAGAGAATTATTAATGTCACCTCACAACATTTACTAAGATCCTGTATGATCCTTGACATAACATAAAAACGGGTCCATGCTAGACAGGTCTTTCTCAAAAACAAGGCACGTCTCTGTCAAGCCCAAGAAAGGCCTTTGTCAAACCTAAAGTAGGTCTTTGTCGAACTCAAAGAGGTCTGTGCGGAAAAGGATACCTATATACAGTTCAGAATATTTATTAAAGGAAACATTCGCCCCGGATTAATTGATGAAGCCACTGACGGCGAAACGTTTCCTTTAATAAATGCCCTGAAATGGAAGCGTGTCTTTTTCCATAGTTTGCTTGTATCACCACGCCATTTACAACCAAGGCAGGTCCTTTTGAAACCGTGTGCACATCCTTTTTCAAACTATAGGGAAGTCCTTCTCAAATCCAAAGCAGGTCCTTACAGCAAAGGCACGTTCTTTTTAAACCCAAAGCAGGTCCTTCACAAAAGTAATGTAGGTTTCTCATGCTGCCCTAGGCAGGTTTTTCTCAAACCCAAGAAAATTTAAAAATTATAATTGGCTTATAATAGTGATTACCACAGTTCGTGTGATGGTTGTAGACGTGTGGATAAGGTCTGGGGTTGGGGCTTCAGTGGTGGGTGTGGGCGAAGGACTGTTGCTTGAACTAGAGTAGGTGTTCTTGCTGGCGTCAGAGCGGGTTTCTCCATCTTTGCGTGAGGCGATACCGTTTCCCCCTGACGTGGACGCTATAGTCGTCTCACATTTGTGTGAACGTAGACTCACCTGCAGGATACATGTTAATTTTCTGTAATATCGTAAGACCCTTTGTTTTATTAACATATGTATCAATATCATCAAAAATTACGAATAAATTATTTGAACATATTAACCGAACAAATATCAGTAGTAACTGATTGGTAGAAATACAGTTTATTTGGTTTAATGTTCTTAAAATTTTGTGGTTCCTCAGTACTCGGTTAAAGTGTTAATTTAAATGCTATTTAATTCAAGTGTCCTAAGCATTTAATCATTAGTTTCGTAAGTTTATTGACAATTATAAGAACTGAAAAGTTATTATAAAATAATAAAAAATTAAGCAAAACTAAAAAATATGTAAGCATCATTAGCTAAGAGACTTCAGATGAGATCGATCAGACATCAATGAAATCTATGCTTCACAGGACCTTAAAGGGGGGAGTGACCTCCGGTGCTCCTTAATCCAGATTGCACCACTTACTGCATCTCTCGCCTCTGTAGGTAGCTCGGGTGGAGGAAGAACCTACCTTGTACCTGAAAGACCTGCCGCAGATGTCACAGGTGTAGGGCATCACACCGGTGTGGATCCTCTGGTGGACCAGGTATGACACGCGCTGCCGGAACGCCTTACCTGCCAACACACACCTCAGTTACACCTGCCCCACCAACACCTGCCCCTCCGGCAGGCTGGTCAGGGCTTAGTGGCGAGACTAGACAGTAGTAGTCCTGAACACCTAACTATTCTCTGCTCTCTTTCTCATCTTTCTTAGTAGAAGAATTCGCTAAGAGTATATTATGGTATTATTCTGCAATAAGAATATATTCACCCAAAGCTGCAGACAGTAAGCAATACCCCAGCTTCAGTCACCCAAATGTAGATTAATTTAGTAGCACTGATTTTGCAAAATATAGCAACAAAAAAGCTAACTTAAAACGTGAGAAGAATATCCAGTGAAATCAAATAGTCTGATTGTTTATTGGATTATTAGAGCAAGTTTACTGACGTGTCACCATCCAACAAGATTACACTGGAATAGCAACACACAAATAGCCTTGCAGAGTGTCAATTTAGAGTTGGTGAGCAGAAAGTTAGGTATGTCCTCATCCCTACTACTTTCCGGTGTCATTTTCTGTTTGGTTTCGCAGGGAATAGAGGGAGTGGACTTACCACATGTCTCACAGACGAAGGGCTTCTCCCCGGTGTGGATCCTGACGTGGTTGTGGAGCGTTGACATCTCTTTGAAGGCCCGCCCGCAGTACGAGCACTGGTGCGGCTTGTCGTCTGAATGGTAAAGGATGTGCTTGTGGTAGCTCTGTTGGAAGGTGAAGGTTTTCCCACACTCAGCGCATGCGTATGGTGTCTCGCCTGCAAGAGAAATGAAATGTGACAAATCTGGAAAAGACAATGAAAGAGTGAAATCTACGCATGTATGGACACAGTGTTTGATAGTCCTCTTCCTCTTTCTTTTTGCCAAAACAAAGGATAACTGGCATTGAGAGAGTGCTAGAAGCGATGCAAAGTTAGGCATTAAAGTTGTTATTGAGGTCAGTCATCTTGTAGTTATGCAAATACTGAAGTGAAAGGTAATGGCGAAATAGTTAAGTAATGCTGATACGAAAGTCGAGTGATGGAGTGCTACAGAAGGTTACAGACCAGGGAAAATGCTTCCATCAGCTGAAAGTGATACCAAGGTTAGGAATAGAAAATAGTAGCAATATTGGCTGATAAAATGGCTTAATAGTCCGAAAGTGACGCCTACTAACCTGTGTGGAGACGTTTGTGCTTCTTGAGGAAGTATTTAGTAGTGAAGGACTTCCTGCACACCTCGCACTCCCACTGCTTGTTGTCAGTCTTTCCGCCCCCGTTCTCCTGTGGAAGACAATGATCAGCTCTCTCTCTCTCTCTCTCTCTCCTCTCTCTCTCTCCTCTCCTTCTCTTTCTAATACTTGACAAACCTTTGTAAACTTAGATTCCTACTATCCTCCTCCTATCTTAAGATATTTGACAAAATGATGACACCCATTACTTGGATTTGCAGTGAACTAAGATCGAGATGATATCCAGTTGGCTATAGTCTACTCCGAGTGTAGTATTCAGAAGCAGACTTAATGCTACACATTGCTGTGGCTGTCAGTGAAGAAACATAACACTACATTTGCAGACACTGACCTTCTTGGTGAAGTTAGTGGCAGCAGCAGATCCTGGAGACCTGTGTTGGAGGATTGATTCACCTTGCTGTTCCCTCCGGGGGTCTGTTACCCCCTCTGGTACCTCACCCTCCATCGTTGGGCACACTTCACACGTTGCCGCCTCCTTCTGCACATCTATCATCTGGACAGGACTGTCTGGAGACTCCTTCATTTTTCCACCGGGTACAGATTGGTGGGTATAATCAAGGGCGGCACACGTAGCCCCGTCTTAGTGTCGGTACCAAGGAGTGTCATGTTGGAACTGAGACTTGGCACTATGCTGTGGCATTGTTGGTAGACCAGGTGCTGAGACATGGCCAGCGTGCTGTGAATTTTTTCTCCCAGGCCGGGAATGTCTATTGTCTGTCCACCCGACAGAGGAGTACCCTCGGGACCTGCCAGAGAGAGTTCGCTGATGTAAGTGGTTGGATGTAGGCGTGCTGGATCGCCCTGTGGGAACCCCAACTTGTTGAAATTCACGAGGGGAAAACTGTTTCTTCTTGTTTCTGTGTATGTGTGGCCATCGTCCTGAGCATGAACACTGCTAGGTGGGGACTCCGCTTTGTGGGGCTGGGGAGATACCACAGCCACGGGGCTGTTTTGTGAGTGCCCACTTCCCACTATGCGACCTGCAGCTGCCTCCGTTAGTGCTTGATGCTGAGAAACTCCCGCTTTCTTCTCCTCTTTAAAGTCGGTGTATTCTATGCGTGGACGACCAGCGCTAAAGTTTTGCTGCAGCATATGACATGGAAAGACAATATTATTTTTATATGGAGGAAAGTACACATCTGAGGGCGACTTCTGTGGCTGAGGTGTTGCCTTAGAATGAAGGTTGATGTAGGTTTGAGTGTCATGTCCCCAGGAAGGTTGGTCCTGTAATTCTTTGGTTTGTAACTTATTTTGCCGGTGAATATCCAGTTGTGATTGTTGAAAAGGTCTTTGTTGTTGCTGCTGCACGTGTTCCTTTACCTGTTGCTGTTCAGCGTTTTGGCTTTGAGAATGATGATTCATAAACTGGTTCGCTGCTAGGTGCTCTACGGTGACACTTTGTTCAGAAGATTGCTTGATTGTTTGTGGAGGTGAGTACTGCAACGGTGAGTGTGAATGGTGATGCAGCGACTGTGACAGTTGGTACTGCTGGCCAGGGACTTCACATGATGTACTACAGTCTTCACCAGTAGATTTGTTCTCGTTCATCAGTGTCTCCAACCAGTTTTTGGCGTCCCCCAGACTAGAGCTTTTGACCCTCTGTCTGGAGGAGGGGGAAGGTGAGGACGTCTTGCCCGGCTGTAGACGGTCAGTGCCTGTGCCATGGTACCGCTTCTCGTGCAGTTCCTTCCTGGCCTTCGTGGTAAAGGTCTTCTTGCAGATATGGCAGGTGGCTGGCGAGGACGGGTCGTGAAACATGCGAGTATGTACCAGCAGACTGCCCTTCATCTTGAAGGTCTTGGGGCACTGGTCGCACATGTAACGACGGTCACTGTGGTCTTCCCGAACATGGTTACGGTAGGCTTCGAAGTCCTTGAACTTTTTTTTACATAGCTTACAAGTGACATCAAAAAAATTACTTTTAGCGTGAATTATGTCTTTGTGAATTTTTAAGAAGTGTTCAGATGAGAAGACAAGGCCACATAGGTCGCAGTTGTGAGGTTGGACAGAGGTGTGGTCAGAGGCAGAGGCAGGGCTGGCCACAGATTGAACTCTTCCACCACTCGTTGAACTCACACTAGTTGACTCCCGAGTCTCCGGCAGCGTCCTGGCCATGGCGGTTGGGCTGTGCGGGGAAACTCTGCCATCATTTATCTCTAAATGCTCGAGGGTAGGAATGACCTCGGGGGAGCTGATAGGCGGGTAACCGGGAGTGCTGAGGGCAGACGTGGGCGTGCCAGGGTCAGAACAGTGATTGTGCTGGGAGGGCAGGTGGGCCGCCAAGTGATGGTGGAAAGCCTGTAAGCCATTGACGGAGGCGCTGCAGATAGGGCAGGCCAGAGGCCTGGTGAGGGCAGTGGCCACACGTTGCTGTAGGTCGCCAACATTGATCAGTGACTCCCGTTCACACACTGGACACGCCAGGTACCCCATCCTGCTGGGAAAACACGATCATTCAGCCTCTGTTTATATACACGTTAATTTTGAACTCAAAATGTGCTCTCATACAGTATGAACAAATATACAGTGCTAGTCACGGCGAAAATCAAAGGCCTACCATACAAGGGGGTCTTTTTTCGTCAGTACATTATGCCGGGTAGCAGCCGTTAGCACGATGTCACAGCCTGCCGCGCACTCCACATTGACTCCTCAGTACTCACGTGGCTTCCGTGGTGAGAGGAAGTGTTGCACTTTTGTCTCTCATTCGCCCCATCTTTTGTCCGGTGTTCCCTTTGGTTTTGGGGTTATACATGTTTGATTATGGGTAAAAGGAAGTCTTTAACACCTGAAACTATAGCTCAAATCATAGGTCTTCACAAAGCTGGGCACCAGACGAAAGAAATAGTGGAGAATGTTGGTGTGTGTGTGAGCGTTCAGTGAGGAACTGGGTACAGCGTTTCAAGGCTGGTGGCAGTGTTGAGTTACCGTCTGCCAAACCTCGGCCTGGCCCCTCGAAGAAGACATCTGTTTGTACCTTAACTGTGTTAAAGAAGCAGTTAGAGAGTACACCTAAGATAACTGCTAGATAACTGAAGGAAAAGAACCCACATCTTCTCTCAGAGGTGTCTGTAAGAACTGTTAACAGACGTGTATCAGAACTGGGCTACAGTAGTCACTGCCAGGTTATGAAATCGATCCTCTCCAAGCCATAGAAGAAACGTAGGCTGGATTATGCAAAGAAATATCTTCACCGGAATCCTCAACAGTGGCCTGATGTACTTTGGAGTGATGAAGCAACCTTCACCATCACCTGTAACTGTGGAGGGGGGATGTGTACCAGCCCAGAGGTAGTGACCCGCTAGACCCACTCTACACCTGTGGGACCACCAAACACTCAGGGGTATTTGGTGGTGTTTCAGTGCTCAGTGTTGGTGAACTCACTGTGCTTCCCAAAAACCAGTATATGAACCAGTATAATTACCTGGAGTTATTGTGTGACAATTTACCTGAGGCATTTGACAAGTGTGGGGCTACGGTTTTTATGCAGTATAGTGCACCATGTCATACCGCCAAATCTGTAGTTCAGTGGCTTAAGGACTGTGAAGTAAGGTTCTTTAATGACTGGCCAAGTAATTCCCCAGACCTAAACCTTATTGAGAGCCTCTGGTCAATAGTGAAATGAAGTTTACTGGGCAAGGATATCAGTTCCATCCTGCGGCTGGAGGCTGCTCTACATGAATCATGGAATAATATACCTCCCTAAATCCTCAAGAATTTGTGTCTTCCTACACGGCTGAGGGACGTGATAAGCGTAAAGGACGCAGCACCAAGTATTAAAACCTCAGTGTGTGCAAATATATATATTATAATCTTTCATGGTGATAAATTAGACACATGTGCAACTCTTGGGTATCTTTATTGAGGAAACGTTTCGCCACACAGTGGCTTCATCAGTCCATACAAGATTCTCCTTTGTATGGACTGATGAAGCCACTGATGTGGCGAAACGTTTCCTCAATAAAGATACCCAAGAGTTGAAGATTGAGACACTTATGCAATATATGGGAATCTTTATTCAGGAAACGTTTCGCCACACAGTGGCTTCATCAGTCCGATTCAAAGTAGAAAGGCGTAAGGAGAGGAGGAGTTTGAGGTAATCAGTCCCTCAGCCTGGAGTCGATGTGTTCAGTCCATTAATCTTGTAGATTGATGGACTGAACACATCGACTCCTTACGCCTTTCTACTTTGTATCGGACTGATGAAGCCACTGTGTGGCGAAACGTTTCCTGAATAAAGATTCCCATATGTTGCATAAGTGTCTCAATCTTCAACTTGTCGGTTTTTCAAACCATTCATCACATACCCAAGAGTTACACATGTGTCTAATTTATCAACGTGTCGGTTCTCTGAACCATTCATCTACAATCTTTCATGGTATGTGTTTGTTTTTTGGTATGTGTGTGGGGGAGGGGCGGCATAATTCCTTGACTAGCACTGTAAGTACACATATCAATTCATGCAATAAGATCACAGTAAACAGGTGATTTTAAAATATGCAAAACAACCACTGTGACAGAGTAGTGAAATTCCAAGCGCTTTCGTGACTACTCACATTGTCAAGGAACTATGAAAGTAATACATCAAAGGAAGGCAATTAAAGGGCTCAGACCACACCTCACAGTCAACCCCCACAACAAAGAAACACCTGACGCGCGACAATACCCGACTCATAAGAAAAGAGGAACACTGCAGTAGGTCCGCTGGTCCAACTAGACAGGTCCTCACGACATCCCACTAACAAAATATTCTACCCAAGAAATAAGGTTTATTATTTGTCCAATGTATTATCAAACTCTTCCCAAATTTTATTAATTATAAATGAATCTAATTTATATAAACCAAAGGAAATATTCATATTATTTTCAAAACTGCTTTTTATGAAACAAGATTCAATTATATTTCTGTCAACCATGGACTTGCTTGATACAACTTTCTCAACTTTTTGAAAATCAATTGGATGGTTAAAATCTCTCACATGAATAAATAGAGCATTGGAGTCTTGTCCAGTTCTAATGCTATATTTATGTTGTTTTAATCTTAGTTCGAGATTTTTACCAGTTTGACCGTAATAAACTTTATCGCAAATTTTACAAGGAATCTTATAGACACATCCATCAGCATTTTGGGGGAAATTCTTTATCAAAAGTTTTTTTTTTACTGTATCAAAATTTTTAAATACAACTTTAATATTAAAAGTCTTAAGAAGAGAAGGCAAATCATCCAGGTTTTCATGGTAAGGGAGAACCAACATATTTTTAGTTGAATAAGGCCTGTTTGTGTGCTCTTGAGTGGTGACCTGTACTTTGAGTGCTGACCTGTACTTAACTCTGTGAAGAAGTGTCTTGTTTGCTCCCATGGACTGAACCAAGATGCCCTCCATCGAGCAACTTTACCAGCAACTTAAGGAAGAATTGAGGGCAGCGAAGATGGAGATACGGCGACTGACCGAGGAAAACAAGAGGATTCGTAGTAGTCCTCCCGTTTCGAGTCCTCAGGTCAAGAAGGGATCGTGGTCAGTGGTTGGACAGCAGGGGACGACGAAGTTGACGATCAAGAAGACGAATGGAAAGCCAGAAACGATGAAGAAGAAAGAGATTGCTGTGGAAACTCCCGTGGAAACCTCCAACGCATTCTCGGTGCTACCCGACGAATGTGAGTCTACTACTGGGATCGTCACGACGAACGACAACAAGGAAGGTAAGAATATTGTTGTTGTTGGGGATAGCCAGGTTAGATACATGGATAGGGCATTCTGCTTGAAGGACAGGAGTAGGAGACAAAGGTATGCTTTCCTGGGGCTGGGATGGAGGACATTGTTAGCCGGCTTGACAACATCATGAACGGTAATGGGATCAATCCATTATTTGCCTCAGTGCTGGAGGCAATGATGTAGGCAAGCGTAGAAGTGAGGATTTAGTTAGAAAGTTCAGGACAGCTATAGACATGATTAGGAAGAAGGGGGGCACCCTGTTATATGTGGCATTTTGCCAAGAGAGGTGTTGGTAATGAATGGTTGTCCAGAGTAATTGGTATTAATTGTTGGCTGGATAAACACTGTAAGGATAATGCAGTACCATTCATTGACAACTGGGACAACTTCTATGGCCGAATGACATGTATGCCAGGGATGGGGTTCATTTATCCAGGGCAGGTGTGGGTTTTCTTGCTAACTCAGTTGAGGGGGTGTTAGGACTTTTTAAACTAGGATTAGTTAGAGGTATGGGTTTTGAAATGATTAATAATGAATATGGATATATTGACTTATGCTCTTGATATTAAGAATCTTAATAGTAACTGTCATGGAGTAACTCTGGGTAATGATAATTTCAGAAATTGTGTAAAAACAAAGATGAATAGGAAAAATGTGCAGAAGAAAAAACATATGATGGTATTTTATGCTAACAGTCGAAGTGCAAGAAATAAAATTAATGAACTACGTTTGGTAGCATGTGCTGGGAACTTTGATATCATTGCATTAACTGAAACGTGGTATGATTTAAAGAGTCGGGATATGACTGCTGAGTGTAATATTCAGGGATTTAAGTTATTCAATGTGGATAGATGTAATGGGAAGGGGGGAGGAGTTGCATTGTATGTTCGAGAAAATATTAATTGTTGCATAAAAACAGGTATAAAAATAGATGGAGCAGTAACAGAGTCTGTTTGGTAGAGTTCGTGAGGGTCAAGAAAAACTAATTCTAGGTGTAATATACGACCTCCAGGCTTGGATCACGATAGAGGGAGACTTCTTTGGGACGAAATTGTTAGGGCTTCTGGACACAGTAACGTAGTCATAGTAGGGGACTTTAACTTTAGCCAAATTGACTGGAATTCTTTGACAGGTAATCTAGAGTCCAGTGACTTCATGGAAACAGTTCTGGGCTGTTTTCTGAAACAGAGTGTAACTGAACCTACCAGGGGTAATAATTTGCTAGACCTAGTCTTGTCAAATAAGGAAACACTCGTGAATAATCTGGAGATCACTGAAGAGCTTGGCGCAAGTGATCACAAATCCATCACCTTTAGCATTAATTGGGAATGCAAGAATAATGATAATACAGTAAAAATCCCCGATTTTCGTTCTGCCGATTATAATGGACTTAGGGAACATCTGTCTAATCTTGATTGGGGTTATCTAGCTAATGATTTTATTGACGATAATCATACTTATGAATATGAAGGGATCTGCTTTTATGATTGTTTTTCAATAATGTACACAGTGCCCAGAGTATATACATTCCCAAGAGAGAAATTAGGTCTAATAATAACGATCCCAAATGGGTTAACAGAAGGCTAAAGCATCTATTAGGGGAGAAAAGGGGAATTTATAGGCGCATCAGAAGAGGAGAGGTTAACCTTACTGACCAATATGTTCAGCTTAAAAGAGAAGTAAAAAAGGCGATTAGAAAGGCTAAACGTGACTATGAAATTAG